TTATTTATTTGACAGAGAGAGAGAGAGTAGGCAGTAGGCAGAGGGAGAGGGAGAAGCAGGCTCCCTGCTGAGCAGAGAGCCTGACGTAGGGCTTGGTCCCAGGACCCTGGGATCATGACCTGAGCCAAAGACAGGTGTTTAACCGACTGAGTCACCCAGGTGCCCCGGTTATCCTTAGTTCTTAAAGAATAACTAATGTTTGTAAAGCAGCTTATAATGTACTTTTACATAATCTCCTCATGTGACAATAAGTACAGCTCCAAGTTAGTCATTACTGGAACAATATACAATTAGACCTACTCAGGACTGAAATTTGTAATAGTAAATATGTTGGTAAAACTGGTAATTTGGAATTTAAGATTTCAAAAAGTTAGCTAGGCTGGCTTAAGTGTACTCTTCCAGTCATTAAATTAATTAAAATTAAGAGGCAAAAAGGCTTGACTTATTTGACAGTTAACAAAGGGAGAAGTACCTTTTATACTGAAGCAGAGTTAGAAAACAAGAAGTAGAAAAACATGAAATGAAACATTGATATGAATCTTAGAAATGATTCTTATCTGTGCCTCATTTCATAAAGTCAAAGAAAACCAACTTACTACAAGCTCTAGAAGTAAAGTAACCTAGTTTCAATCCCATTTTATGGTGAGAAAGGCTAACTTTCTTATACAGATGAAGATATATTCCTAGAAAAAAACAAAAAATAAAAAAAAAAATCCTATGCATAGTGCTGTAAACCTAGTTCCTGACCCCCCCCAAAATATAAAAATGCTCGAGGTAAACAAAGGATAAGTAGGTAAGTATGGTATTGTCTGCACCTGTTGGCTAGTTTCTAGATAGGGGCTGCTCAGTTTGGATGTGGCCTGAGAACTGTTTTGTTATTAGATACCTTGAACTGCAAGGCTTCAGAGACTTGCCAACAAAGGTCCTAGCTTTTGGCAAGTCTGAGATAAAAAGTCATTCTATCCTTGATGTCCACTGAAGGGCCAAAATTTTTTTTTTTTAAACCTTATAAACTATAGTTATCTTAACTGTTGTAGTTATATTTGTTTTCTGCTCAATCCTTTCTTTGCTCATCCTCTTCTGAAAGGCAGCCTTTTTAATTTCAGTGTACTCAAACCAGGAGGTGACACTAGCACTAGCAGTCACACAATGCTTAGCTAGGACAGCTATGTTAGACTATGTGGGAAAAGAAGAACCAACAGGTAACAGATGGAGAGAAGCAGAGCCAAAAACTGCTGACCGTGACCTCAGGTACTGACACCCCAGTTCCAATTCTAGTCCCTATATAACCTGCTATATTACATCTTCTGTTCTTACACCTTGCTTTATTTACGTGTGTTTATATTTAGGTTAGGGATGCGTGTGTGTGTGTGTGTATGCACCCATTTAAAAAATCTCTTTTGGGTGTTTGTATGCATGTCATGTGAAAAGCAAAATGGCTTAAATTCACATCTCTGTCTTTTCACAGTGGGGCAAGCCTATTTCCGCCATGTATGTTAGCCAAAGCTCCATGTCTGGTTTATCTCTAATAAGTCCCACTACTTAAACTGGCTTAAGTAGGTATGTGTTCCTGACAAAGTACCTAAGAAAAAGAGTTAAGCCAGGTTTCTTAACATCACAAAGGCAGACACCTTTGAATTATTACTGGAATAAAATTTTTGTTTCTACATTTACCTATGTCATAGCTTAATTAAAAGGAGAAGAAATTTAAATCAACTATAGAATAAAACACAGAAGGCAAGTTTTTTATCAACCCAAGATTTTCATTCTGGTTTTGTCATTGACAAGTTGTATGACCTTGAGCAATTCAGCTGGGATTGAAAACCCTTGGCTTAAACTATTCCCCATTTATTTTGCTAGTCTGCATATGTCATTAATGGCTTTCTGGATGTTTAATTACTGAAAGTAGAGTAAGTAATAAGCTCATACTCTACAGAGGAAATACAAAAGGAATTATTTAGATTTTATTTGACAGAGAGCGAGACAGCAGCAGAGGAAGAGGGAGAAGCACACTCCCCGCTTGACAGGGAGTCCAAAGTGGGACTTGATGCCAGGACCTGGGGATCACGACCTGAGCCAAGGCAGACAGTTAATGAACTGAGCCACCCAGATGTCCCTAAAAGGAATTATTTAAAGCTAATTCTGATCAAGAATGAAACATGGCCTTGGAATTCTTAATGGGAAAGGAAGAAAACACTGAGCCTAAATAGAAATATCCCTTTATTTGAAAAGATCTCAGCAAGTTCAACTCAAAGTTAGGTATGATCTCACAGACAAAACCTCTAAGGGTAATACAGCACAAGAAGAGCTTCAGGTTCTAAGGAAATGAAGTTCTGATTATGTAATGACAAATAATCCTAATGAGATGAGAAAGCAGTTAGAGAAACTAACTCATTTGGGAAGCTCAGATTTTTTAAACAACATGTACAAAAGAAAAAATGACCACTTAAGAATACTATGTCTTGATGTGAACCTGTAAGAAAAGTCTCAGAAAAGTTCAAGCCTACTAAGAACTGAGGTTCCCCAAAATTCTAGTAAGACAGCAATGAAACTCAAGTAGACAATATGTTAGGGGAAAGAAAGAACAAAACTGATAACAGAAAGAAGAGCTCAAAATCAATTGTGTCTTCATCTTTTCCATCCATAAGTACTGTCCTCAAGTTGGAAAGACCAAACAAAAATTAAATGAAGAAATTAAAGTGTGATAATTTAAAAGGAGTCCTACACAGCTAATTTAAACATATTTATAATTCTAGGCCCAAACAAATCATCTCAAGGTCTTAAAAAAACTTCAAATATAGATGAAAAATGAGAAAATGTTGCCTGATTTTTAAAAATAGGTAAAAAGGGAACTTTCCAGAAAGCAAAGAATGACTAGTTTAATATTGATCTCTAAACAATTTCTAGAAGAGAGAATCAAGGATGTGATTTTTTAAGTACTCAGAATTTGAAAAGCCAACATGGACTATGTAAGAAAAGTACAAATTAAACTATTTTTCCTTTTTTGCAAGGTTTGATAATGTCTGGCATGATATTGAATGCTACTGCAGTAAATCTTGATTTCCTCTAATAGCCTTGCCAGTAAGATAGACAAAAGTAGGTGGGAGAGTGGTAGAGGTAAGTAAATTCAGAGTTGGTCCAACAGTTCTTTCTAAAGAGTAATGAAGGAGCAGTGAGCCAGAAAGGTTTTATCTTTGGTCCTGTCCTATCTAATACTGTTTTTAGTGACTATAATAAAGACTAGAAAACTCGTTTAGTATATTTGTAGAAGAAGAAAAGCTAAAAGAGAAAGAAATATAAAAGGAGATTCAAAATTCAAAAGGATTCCGACAAGCCAGGAAAATGAACTTAAAACCAAAAAGAGACATTTAAGAAAAAAACCAACTCTTGCATTTAAGTTTAAAATAAAATTTTTAATAAAATAAAATAAATAGAAGAAGGGAGACTGGTGGTAATTTGTATGAAAAAAACCTCATACTTCAGTGATTTAAAGTGATTGAACTTGTTTTTAAAAGGTAATGAACAGAAAAAAAAAAAGGTAATGAAACTTTATCCTATATATCAGAAGATCAGAATTTCTAGGTTTCTCTGAAAGTATTGTAAAATAAGTTTTATGAGTCTTTTAGACTTAAACTATACTGAAATCTCTAATATTTGCAAGTGCAAATCATATGTAAAATAGGGTCAATCTATAATTCTCATAAACCCTAGAGGAATAACAACAAAAAAAGTTCTACATTAACAATATTTTTGTCAATTTAATATGTAGCTGAAAGGATAAACAAAATAAGGCAGTTAACTTAAGAACTTTCTCTATAAAGACACTTTTTGTTTTTTGAGATTCTATTCCTTAGGGCTAGCACAAAATACTTTCAGAAACTTACCTTAAACTAGTTCTTGAAAGTTTTAGTACTGGCATTACATTCTAAAAATAAAGACTATGTGAGAGTATCAAGTTTCCTCTTATACAATTTTATGCTAAGGAATCTTTACTGAAATGGTAAAAGGTGAAAGAAAGGGTCAGAAAAATTTAGCCTATTCTCATAAGCTTTCTGATACTAATTTAGAGCTGTTAAAGTATTTGAGAAGCTGAACTGATACTGAAAGAAATACTGTTTACCCTTTTCCGACACTCCTTTAAAAGAAATAATCCAGGGACACCTGGCTGGCTCCGCTGGAAGAGCATACACCTCTTAATCTCAGGGTTGTGAGTTCAAACCCTATACTGGGTGTAGAGATTACTTAAAAATAAAATGTAAGGGGTGCCTGTGTGGCTCAATGGGTTAAGCCTCTGCCTTTGGCTCAGGTCATGATCTCAGAGTCCTGGGATCAAGCCCTGCATCGGGCTCTCTGCTTGGCAGGGAGCCTGCTTCCCCCTCTCTCTCTGCCTGCCTCTCTGCCTACTTGTGATCTCTGTCAAATAAATAAATAAATAAATAAATAAATAAAATCTTTAAAGATAATAATAATAATAAAATAAAATTTAAAAAAATAAAAAATCCAAGAAAAGTAATTTTTTTAGTTAAAAAATTGCCAACTTGATAGATTTCAGTATATTAATAATTTACACAAAGAAATCTTTTATTTATTTATTGAGAGAGAGAGCATGCAAGTGGAGGGAGGAGCAGAGGGAGGGGGGGGGAGAGAATCTCAAGCCGACTCCCTGCTGAGCATAGAGCCCATGAGATCCTGACCTGAGGTGAAATCAAGAGTTGGACATTTAACTGACTAAGCCACCCAGGCACCCCTACACAAAGAAATCTTAAACTAAATTTTACTGTTAAGACTTGATTACCTAGAGATATTAGCAAATAAACAACTTAAGGGACTCATGAGCCTTTCCTACATAAAATACTAAAATTTACAACTTTTAAAGCTATTGATGGGGAAAAAATCTGTTTAATAGATTCTATCTACTCTTATGTCAAATGATCAGAAAGAGCAAATCTTCTGGGAGAGGAAGTATTAACAACATGAATAAATTTAACTTGAATACATACAGAAATGTACAGGCTTCTGGAAAGGAGTCTTCATATGATGTAGAGGGCAATGAACCGGATTTGTTTTCCTGTTCATTCTGGGTCACAGATGTATGATCTACATGAAGAAAATAAAAACATGAGTAACAGGTACACCAAGTTAAAAATCACCTATTGTAATATCCAAATAATATCTTTATTTATTAGAGATATATGGAGCTTTTAAATCTGCAAACACAGTAAAATTTCAAAATTAAGCCAAAAATTAAGGTGTCAATATCTTCAAAAACATTAAGAAAGTAAGATAGAATAAAGTAAAAGACCGAGGATAGAAGAGACCTCCTGGAGAAAAATCTAGTTTGGCCTAAACTCGGGGTATCCTTATTTCTGCTTGTATTTTATAGAAAAAAAAAAAAAAATCATTACTAAAAGTCACAGAATGGAAAGTTTATGTATCTTTTGCTTTCTCATTGTTCAAATGCTACCTTCATTTTTGGAGGGTGGTGTATTTGGGTACCTCTTTTTATATTTCCATCTGACTTTTCATATTACTTAGTCTATCTTTCTGTGCTAATTTCATCCCATGTCTTGTCTTGTCTTTTCTACTTCATCTATTCTTACTCTCTATCAGGACTACAATATAGAAATAAGCTTTGTATTTAATGAGAAAAATTATGGATTTCCTGTTCTTATTTTGAAAAATAGATACATGAGGGTGCCTGGGTGGCTCAGGTCATGATCCCAGGGTCCTGGGATCGAGTCCTGCATTGGGCTCCCTGCTCAGCAGGAGCCTGCTTCTCCCTCTCACTCTGCCTGTGCTCTCTCTCACTGTCAAATACATAAATAAAATCTTAAAAAAAAAAATGGATATGTTTGGTTTAAAGATATATATACATACATACACACACATGTACATATATTTTTTCCCTTTTTTTATAGACAGCATGAGTGTGAGGTGGGAGGGGTGGGGAGGGGAGAGAGGGAGAGAGAATCCTAAGCAGGGTCAACACCCAGTGTAGTGTGACATGAGGGTCAATTTCACAATCCTGAGATCATGACCTGAGCTGAAATCAAGAGTCAGATACTTAACTGATTAAGCCACCCAGGCATCCCTAAAGATATTTTTTAAATGTGTTTTTTCTTATGCACTGATGGACTTTAAGAAAAAAAGTGATTTTCATCCTGCCTTAGATTATTAAATTGCATTGGTCCTCTTAGTGCAGAAAAAAAAAGTGTACAAAAAAAAGTTTAATAAAAGAATAGTTTAAGTTATAATACAAGGTCACTACCTTGCTAATTGGAAAATAATTACCCTCTTCAATTATCAAGGTGAAGAAAGGTTTAAAATCTGGTAGTTGGTAAGAGCTATAATTCCGGATTAAAAATTAAGTTTCACAAATAAAGAATTTCTGATTTTCTCCTAGCTAATTTCTTTTGTATGAGCCATATAAATCCATACTAACAAATATAAATAAAATAAAGGTATATAAGCACAATTAAGAAATAAGTCTTACTGAAAAAACATGGAGATTTTAAAATTAATCATTAGATAAGGAGGAAAGCTGAAGTAACTCCTCTCAAGAAAAGAGTATCCAATCCTTTGTTTGAGGATAGAACACATATTTACAGTTATACACAAGCAAGGAAAATGAAAGTAATTAGTGGTCTGGGCAGTCCAAGTTGGATTTGGGATAGCTTATTTTGATTTCAACACCAAGTCCTTTTGTTTTTCCCAGTCTCAATATTCTTTTTAAAATAAATACTAAAATGAAACTTAATACTAGAAAGCTTTTAATCCTTTACATTTGCCAACAATGTCAATTATAGAACTCCCCAATTACTTAGTAACAAATATTGCTCTACCCCTGGCAAACACATATTTTTACTTTGATAAATTCATTACATCTCAAATGAACTATATAAAAATATCAAATTATAATAGTCAATATTTCTATTGATGAAATTATTACCAAAAAAACCCAAAACCCAATTTACGTTCTATTACTGAGAAATAAATTGTTTCAGATAGAAAAAAAAATTTAGAATTAGTTCATCTTACCACCTCCTGAATTTAAAAGCCTCTTTCTCACAAAACTAGTATAATCTCTTGAGTGTTTTGATTCCAAGTGCTCCTGAAAGATACTGAGAAGGGCTATTTTCTTAAAGAATCTACTCTTTTAAAACTAGAAGTAAAATTAGCTACTGAAATTGAGGATACTTTTGAATAACAAAAGATTTCTTTAAAATAGACTGATGATGGTGGGCTATATTTTTCAGAGACTTAAAACCTTAAGGCTCCAAATTATGACACTTAAAATTATTATAATTTGTTAACAATATTTAGCAGTATTAAATAAAATCCAGTAAAGTACTTCCTCAACATTTCAGGAAATTGGAGATAGACTAAGATTTATTGGAGAGTGACTCTGATAAAATAATTTTTTAATTTTCCTCTTCTTAGTTCTAGTACATTATCTTTGATCAATTCCTTCTAAAATGAATTAGTTTACAGTTTGTAAGATTGATGGTATAATACCAATCCAGAAATATAAAATTTTTACACCAACTTATCTATGCCACAATATATCTAATACTGTTTTTTTCACAAAGTCGGTTTGTAGTAGTTTGGAGTCTCAGAATTTTTTAAAGAAGAGATATATTTGTTCATTCTTTCTGTAGAGATTCAAAAGAATGTTGGGGCGCCTGGGTGGCTCAGTGGGTTAAGCCGCTGCCTTCGGCTCAGGTCATGATCTCAGGGTCCTGGGATCGAGCCCCGCATCGGGCTCTCTGCTCAGCAGGGAGCCTGCTTCCTCCTCTCTCTCTCTATCTGCCTCTCCGTCTACTTGTGATCTGTGTCTGTCAAATAAATAAATAAAATCTTTAAAAAAAAAAAAAAAAGAAGAATGTGCATTTCCTATCTCTGAATAGGTAGAACTTTTTATTTAATAAGGAAACTCATTTATGTAATTTACCAATATAGATCTTATATGTTAAATCTGACAGACTTAAGTCAATTATGCCTGCTTCAAGTCAAGAAAATAACAGAACATTTAAGATTGGGATTAGAAATGCACATACCCTTTATCAATGTTGAATTGTTATTTATGGTTGCTTCATTCACTAGAATCATTGCTTGGACGTATTCTGTTAAGGAAAGGAAAAAAGTGTGAAAACAATCATTAGCGGCATCACTTTCATTTATGCTGCCAGCTACTGTGCTAAACAATTTACAGATTGTATTTAATTTAGTCTTCATTAACTCCTCTGACAGGTTCCAATGATTACCAGAATTAGAAACAGAAATTGATGTTTAGAGGTGAGACTATTCCAAGAGCGCCTGGGTATTTAAGTTAGTTAAGTATCCAACTCAGTTTCAGTTCAGGTCATGATCTCAGGGCTGTAAGATCAAGCCCTGTGTTGGGCTCTGCCTTGGGCATGGAGCCTGGTTAAGATTCTCTCCCTTCCTCTCCTTCTACCCCTCCCTGCCCCCTCTCTCTCCCTCTCAAAATAAAACACACACACACACACACACACACACACACATACACACACCTCAAAAAACACTATTTATTCCAGGTCATTCAGCAAGGAGGTGGTAAACCTGGATTCAAAACTAGATATACAAACGAATGAGAAGGAACATTAAAATGAAAAACAATATTATTTTTTGGACAAGCAAACAAAAGATTAATGTCAGATGAACATCCAAGAAAATGTATTAAGAATGGTCCAAAAAGGGCTCCTGGGTGGCTCAGTGGGTTAAGCCTCTGCCTTCAGCTCAGGTCATGATATCGGGGTCCTGGGATCAAATCCCGCATCAGGTTCTCTGCTCAGTGGGGAGCCTGCTTCCTCCTTTCTCTCTCTTTGACTGCCTCTCTGCCTACTTGTGATCTCTCTCTGTCAAATGAATAAATGGAATCTTAAAAAAAAAAAAAAAAAAAAAAAAAAAAAAGGTCCAAAAGAAAATCTGCTTGAAAATCTTATGTCCTGGAGGAAAGAGGGAGGCTTCTACACAAAAATCTTATGTTCTACAACCAACCAGGATTGAAAACAAAGAAATAGAAAAAGTTAAAACTTGGCTGACAGAACTGACTGCCAATGTAGAATACAAATTGTTTCAGAAGACTAGTAGGTCAAGTTCTCTTTAAAGCAGGCAGAATAATTATATGTACTTTCATATTTTAAAAGACATTACGTGTCTCTGAGTAATAGGGTGATGGATAATTTTTGTTCTATTTTTCTATATGTACTAAATGTTGTACAATGAGCAGATACTACTTTTGCAATACCCATCACCCTTCAAAGAGGGTTACAAAGAGAAAGAAAAGATAAAATGGGGGGCGAATAAAGTAGCCTGAGAGAAAAAGAGATAAATTCAGTAGCTATTATTCAAAGTGATCATCTTCACCCACTTTTATAAAGTATCTATGGTATATGGTAAAAGCAAGTTTTTTTGGAATCAGAGCACAAACATGAAGGAAACACGATGCATGGTAGGCTCTTAGAAAACAAAAGAAACTATTTGACTTTAAAAATGAATACTGGAAATAGAACTGTACTCCACTGCCAGTGGTTAATATTCAGCATTAAATGTACTGAAAGTTTTTTGTGCTTCATACCTTTATTTGTGGCAGACCCATCTTTGATCTTTTGTTTCAGTGATTGCAGCACATTTTGCACTTGTTCAAATATGAAATCCACTTTTCCATCATCTTCCAGCTCCATCCAGAAAGTTTTTGCATCACCTAAAATAAAAATAGGTGCATAGCTTAAGAGCTCAATAGAAACAGACTGTAAGCTCCCCAAGGCACATGTTACAAAGAATCCACCTGGTTTCTAAATAACATCAAGATTTAATTGGTCTGTAATTTACCTTGAGAAAAAGATTTTGGTCATTGTTTCTTTATAAAGAATTAGAAACAAAGAATATGACCTAAGTATTTCACTTATTTCTGCTAACATAAAAATACCTTGAAAACTTTAGTGATGCTATTTCTAGTGTCCCAGTCAAACAGAAGGAATGGCTTCATTTTAGGGTGGTGGTAGATACATGTATAGACACATAAGCATTTAAAAGTTTCAGGGAAAAAACCTCCACTGAATATGGAAGTGGATGGTTTCAGAATGAAACATCTCAACAACTGCTAAAATAACTAAATGTCCAACATTATTTTTTAAAAAATGTCTTTAATATTTTTAAAACAATTATATGAAGCAAATAATGTTTAAACTTTTTATATATAGCTATATAGATGAGCCAACATTTCAGATGTCCAGCAAGTGAACACCTTAATCAAAAATTCCTAAAGACAGGTGCCCAGCAACTCCTGATCTTGGGGTCATGAGTTTGAGTCACATACTGGGGGTGGAGTTTACTTAAAAAAAATTTTCTAGAGGAAATAATTCTTTCAAAGCTGAAAACAGAAATACGAGAAAGACAATTACACTGGCAAAAGCAAATTGCATACATGAACCATGTTTAAAAGTAATAAAAATACCCAAAATGTTAAAATTTATGTATGTTAAAATGTTAAAATATATAAAATGTTCAAAATTAATTAATAGGGCCTTAAACAAAAGAGGGACACAATAATTATTGTACTTTAGAAAGATCATTTGAGAAGCCATTAGGAGGATTAATAAGAAGCAAGCCTACGAAGTTTACAAAAAATAGATTTTCCTTAATAAAAATTAAACCCAGAACCTCTAAGTTTGGCAGTGGGGTGAGAACCTTCATAAAAGGCTTATGTCTCATAGTCCCAAATCTCCCTGGCAAAGTCATCTTACCCAAAGGGACTCTCTGGCTAATTAGGGATGCTGCCACCACTGCAGCCTCAGAAGGGGTGTTGCTTCCCTGTTGACACTCTGGCCCGATGCCTACAACATAAGACAAAGCCTACTTTTAACTCCCCGTAGCACAGCTAAGACAAGGTTTCAAGATTTGAAATAAATGCAATGTGAGAGGACAAAACTGATGAGGAATGATGCTTTAGAGGTGGAGGGACCATGACATGGCGAGCCCTTCAGCCATGCTAAGCAACTCCATTTTTATATGAAAGACTATGGGAAGCACTCAAAAAATGTTAAGCATTCATATGATGTGATTAGCTTCTTAGAAAAGTCACTCAGGTAGCAGTGGGAAGAGGGAGGAGTCAAGAAAGATTTCTAAGGGTGCCTGGGTGGCTCAGTAGTTAAGCATCTGCCTTCACCTCAGGTCCTGATTCCAGGGTCCTGGAATCAAATTCTGCATTGGGCTCCCTGCTCAGCAGGAGCCTTCTTCTCCCTCTGCCTACCACTCTCTCTGCCTGTGCTCTCTCTCTCACTGTCAAATAAACAAATAAAATCTTAAAAAAAAAAAAAAAAGAATGATTTCTAATTTTCTGACTTTGGTGACCATATGCATAGTTAATGGTATTCACTGAGCTAAGAAATAAAGATAGGGAACAAGTGAGAAAATTTAAGTAGGGCAAGTACATTGGGTACACAGGCTCCAAAGTAAGATCCAGTCCAATTACATGAATTTTGGAGTCAATGGCATACAAATGCTTTCTGAAGTCACATAGCAGATGTGAGCAGGGAGAACGTGTTCAAGGAGAAGAGGGTCTTCTGTATATAAGGGATAAGGATAAGAAAAGAGAATCATGGAGACAGAGAAGGAGCAAATAGGTATAAGGAAAATCCAGGAGAATAGCTTATCAGGGGTCAATGGAAAAACAGAAGTGGTGATTAACAATCTGGGCTTTGGAATTCAGATGCACTTGTTTGAATCCCACACTGCCAGTTTAAGCTGTATGACCATATGGATGAAATGGGAATAACAGCATCTACACATGGAACTGATGTGTGGATAAGCATGCGGCCTTTAGCAAGAAATTACTATATATAAAGAGTAAATATACATACATACATACACACACACACACACACACACATATATATAAACTATATACACATACAGTATGTTTATAGTAAATATATTTTTTAAAGAAATTACTATATATAATTTAACAGGGAATATAGTCTTAAGCAAAATAAATCTCTGGAATTTTATATATTAGTAACTCTGGAATTTTAGATATTATTCAGCTGAGTAGACAAGTATTATTTGAAGGACCTTCCCAGAATCCTTAAAATCATTAAGTTTTAAAAAAAAAAAAATCACTGCTTTTAGACAAAACTATTTGTGAAAGCACTTAATTAGTTATCATGTTTCTTTTCATGGATATGAATCAATACTCCACTGTAGGCATTTATCTTTATTTGAGGTGGATATCTAGACAGGAAGGATTTTGAAAGGTACTTAAATTTTTTTTTTAAAGATTTTTATTTATTTATTTATTTGACAGAGAGAGATCACAAGTAGGCAGAGAGGCAGGCAGAAAGAGAGGAGGAAGCAGGCTCCCTACCGAGCAGAGAGCCCAGGACCCTGAGATTGTGACCTGGGCCAAAGGCAGAGGCCTAACCCACTGAGCCACCCAGGTGCCCTTGAAAGGTACTTAGAAATAGCTTCTGACAGCATTATAACCTGGAATCATAGAAAACAAGCAGTGATGCTGAAAAACCACAATTAGGGTTTAAGTGAATTTTTATTTCTCAGTGGTTATCATTTAAAACTGTGTTTGAGGGGCGCCTGGGTGGCTCAGGTGGTTAAGTGTCTGCCTTCAGCTCAGGTCATGATCCTGGTGTCCTGGGATCGAGCCCCACATCGGGCTCCTGGCTCAGCAGGAAGCCTGCCTCTCCCTCTCCCTCTGCCTCTCCTCCTGTATCTGTTTCAAATAAATAAATCCTTTAAAAATAAAAAATAAGAAAAAAATAAAACTGTGTTTGAAATGTCAACACATGATACCAAATTATTCTGATAGGAAATACTTAAGACAACTGATTGGACAACGGAACAGAACTGAACAAAACTAAATTATTAGTTTGGGAATGGATTAATGAAAAGGACATTGGCAATATAATTTGAGAAAATAAAGCCAATCAGAAAATACTGAAACCGTCTGCTTGTACAATAAATGAATGGATTTAAGCAATTCATATTTATTTGCTCTGGGTTTTTAATATTGCTTTTATGGCATCCTTATCATTTCATACCGCTAGGTTTAATTTTCATTTAAACGGTTCTTATTCCTCATGTCTTCCCTCTTGATCATTTTTCACTTTTTGCTATGGAAATTTTAAACCACAGTAATATCAAGAAAAAAGGTAACCAATTTATCTGAAAAATGAGATTAACAGATCCAGTTAATAACTTTCTTGAACAAAGAGGCTAAATGAGTATCACAGATAGAAACAATTGAGTCGTTTTCATTTCAACTGTAGACCATCTAGATGGTTATTACAAGGTAAACAATTTCAGTTTCTTGCTTTTTTTTTTTTGTACTGTATGTATGTTCAGGGTTATAATCTGAAACTGTAAACATTTCAGTATATTCACTAGAAAACACTGGTAAGTACAATAGTAGGTCCTTGAATTGGAAACCAAATCAGTATACTAACATTGCAACTTGCCTCTAGAAATAAAGAATAGCATCTTATAACTCTACTGTTTGTCCCAACCTGCTCCTCACTTAGCTAGATAGGACTATTTATTGCAGGAACATGATCACAAAGTGGGAAGTACAGCAGCTTTGTAAAGGAAGAAAGACAAATTATATAGTCACACTGTATGTCTACCAATCTCCCTTGATATACACTGTCTTTGTAAATAGGCAATAATCAAGAATCACAGCTATAGGAGTTATTAGCCAACTATTTTGGGGGTACTTAACAAATACGCTGATAATAAGACACTCAGACACACACACGTATCCCTTAAAGAGCTTCATTGCATTAGTCTAGAATAGCTCTCTATCTCTGAGTCGATGATCAGCAAAGTGTGGTCTATGAACCCCTGGGGTCCTCACATCCCTTTAGACAATATGCTAGGTCAAACTATTTTAACAGTAATATAAGACATTATTTGCACCCTTTATTTTTTTATAATGGCATTGACTAATGATAAAAGCACTGATGTCTTAGCATGAATCAAGGGAGTGGCAAGACACTACCAGTTTAAAGTCTTCCAGTATACTACCAGCATATTCTTTGCCATCAATTTCACTAAATGTCTTTGATAAAGGATATAAATGATTACTACAGCATAATGGCGGTCTCAAGCAAAAGCACTAGTGAGATTGAGTTGTAGGTTAAACTAGCTTTTTTTTTTTTTATGGAAGACTATTTTTACTTAAAATAACCATTAATAGAAATTATAGTTTCTTAGACTTGGGTGTTTGGCACACATTTCCTCGGGGAAAAAAAAAAACAAAAAACAAAACAGGGGTGCCTGGGTGGCTCAGTGGGTTAAAGCCTCTGCCTTCGGCTTAGGTGATGATCTCAGGGTCCTGGGATCGAGCCCCGCATCGGGCTCTCTGCTCAGCAGGGAGCCTGCTTCCCCCTCTCTCTCTGCCTGCCTCTCTGCCTACTTGTGATCTCTGTCTGTCAAATAAATAAATAAAATCTTTAAACAAACAAACAAACAAACAAACAAAAAAACAAAGTGAGCCTACCCCTGGAAGTTCAATATTGACAGCATTTGTTTAATGATAAAATTCACACTACAAAGTTAAAATTGGAAATCTTTAAACCTTTTATGTGCCATAGTAAGCCTGATAGCTTCTCAATAATTAATCACTTTTTGAAAAAATTGGTAGCAATATTAACAAATGTGATTTTAATACTGTATGATGAAATGTGTCAATATCAGGAGAATCTGCATAATTCATTGAGTCAATATCTTCCAAGTGGCCAATGCATGATGTTATAAAATCATAAATGATCTATTCAATGTGCAAGACAGACCAATGGGTTTTAATGTAACAGAACAGAAAAAAAACTCAGATACATGTTCAGCTTTCATGCTACAACTGACCTTGAAGGAATAACTATTTGTTGAGTTTTGCAGTTGTATCAAAAAAAGTCCACAATTATCCAAAAGGCTATTAAAATATTCTTTTTCCAACTTTTTGTCTGTGTGAAGCTTCATTTTCTTTATACATTTCAACCAAAGCAACATTTCACACCAGATTGAATGCAAAAGTAGATATGAGACTCCCTCTTCCATTAAACCAACTATAAAGGATTTGTAAAGATGTAAAACAATATTATTCTAATTTTTTTGTTTTAGACAATAGTTATTGTTCACAAAAATGTAAATGTGTTAACATAGTGGGTTTATTATTTTTTGAAGCCCCTCGGTTTCAATTTCTAACACAGTAAATATAAAGAGATATTATCCACATAAACTAAAACTGTTAGGGATTTTAAATACTTCTAAGAATATAAAGTAGTTCTGAGACCAGAAGAAAGTTTGAGAACTACTGGCCTACATAAACAGTCCAGTGACCACTGATCAATAGTATGATCTGTGTAACAATTCATATATTACAAGTATGTTAAAGGGTAGTGAAATTTTAAAATACCATTTAAGAGGTCAGGGATTCCAGGTAGGAAAGCTGACCATGACAAGAACATCTAACTGTATTATAGTTGTATATACAACCTCACTGAAGGGCTAGGTACAAACGTGCTAACCTAAATAACTGGAAAGAAGTAAGAGTCTGCAAGACTAAAGGCAAAAGGAACTGTGCACAAGCACAGTAGCTTCCTACCTGGGAATAAGTTTACATTTCTGATACAGCTACACTCCACACACACACACACACACACACAGGAACTGACTAAATAAATGGATAACAGATGGTGGGAGCCATGTTTCTCACTGTTGGGAGAGATGTGGTAATGGATTAGAGTTGGGAACATCAGAATAAATTCATGTTTGGCTTAATATAGATACAGATGGCTACATATAGAGATATTTATAGATATGCATATATACAAACTTAGCATACACATATATTCCTTGCTCTGTCAGCTGAAAGGGCCTATAAGCAAAGACAGCCCAGTAACAACTATGGCCAGATATTGGTTTCTGACACTATCTTCCATTAAAAGGAACCAGGGCTCATTCAAGAAATGGCTGACTCTAGGACTGGGGCAGGAAATATACAAGATAAACCTGCAGCATCTTATATTACCAGAAAATAAGGAAGTGCTAAAAAACCAAAACAAAAAACAAAAACTCACCTACATTGATACAGATATGTCAAAGGGACACAGACCCAACTGAAAGAGTTCCCAAAAGCCAATCCTGGGAGTTTGAGTAACAAAACAAAACAGTACTGGATAGGGTAAAATAAGTACCCATGACTCCATACTGAAATAAACAAATTGTTGACTATATACATAAACGGGAGAAAGGAGATTAATCTCCCTTGTAGAAGAATTCTGAATAATTAATGTAAATATTCCATTCTCAGAGAGGGGGAGCATAATCCCCACTCCTTGAATATGAGCTGCATATAGGGAGGAAAAAAAGGTAATTTACAGTGTAGAAACCACATAATACTCTGTCAGCCAGATGATCCAGCTCAGTATCAGTAAGAGAGAAATCATGTACCTTTGATATAATGTGGTAAAAATGGCACTTTACCCCATGGTCTTCTTCCCGAAAACCCAAAACCCTGATTGAATCATGAAAAAAAAAAAATCAATCAATAATTCCAATAGAGGAACATCCTACAAAATACTTGGGATACAACATACTACAAAATAAAACCCAAGTCTAAGAAACTGTTCCATCCAAGAGGACCCTATGGAGACACGACAAATACATATAATGTGGGACCCTGGAACAGAAAAAGACATCAAGTAAGACCTACAGAAATATGAAAAAACTATGGACTTTAGTTAATAATAATGGCTAACTGTAACAAATGTACCAGCCAAATATAAGATGTTAATCATAAGCAAAACTGGATGTATAAGATATGGGAACTTGTACTATCATCTCAATTTTTCTTTAAAAAGTAAATCTAAAAGTTTTCTAAAAAATAAAGTGTATTTTTAAAAACGTATATTAAAGAAATGACTTATTTTCCAGACACAATTAATTATACAGACTGTCAAAATTGCTGGCTACATGAAAATGTATATCCTAAATTCCTTCAAATGTAGAAAAGTCATTTGCAGTGAAAAACCTTGAAAATCATACTGCAGCTTCATTACGTAGTCTATACACTTTTAAATATAATATTTAACAATGGTTTCCAAACCTACCATTTTTTTCTCCCATCTTTTGGCGTCGTTCATAAACATAAAACTCTTCAAAATTAACTTTATCAAAGGACTGAATCACTTTGATTGAAGAATCCAACTGGAATCCAACTGTGGTCTCTATGAAATTTGCAGTCCTTAGAGAAAATACATCATTATGCCACTCCAAACCTAATGTTCTTGCATGCCTGAATTTTCAAATAGTAACTGTAGTTGAAGAAACCTTTAGAAATAACCACTAGTCCAACCTGATGACGAGTCCATGCAACTTCATCAAGTATTTACAGTCATATCAGATCACTGATGATCTATTTTTAAAAATAAAAACCAACTCCATCTTTTGGTCCATGGATGCATGAGACATTCTGTAAAGAAAATAATAAAGACTGGCACATATATGCAAATAATAAAACATAAGAAAAAAAGACTGTTCTAACAATAGCTCTATCTTTCAAAATAGTATAAACTATTACAGAAACAAGAATAAATATTAAATGGAAAAATATGTAAAATATCAAAATTAGGAAATTACAGAGAAATTAAGAATCACCCGTATTTAAAATATTGTTAATTCACATAAACTATCCCCATTTTATAAATATTTTTAAAGTTTTCTTATTTCTTATAAATACTTGATAAAAACTTTAAAATGGGGATAGTAACACTAACTACCTCAAATGAATGAAGAAAAGGCAATAATGACCAAGAATTTCTCAAAACTGAAAAACACATAAGCCAACTAAGGATTCACTGGGTACCAAGCAAGATAAAATACAACTTTAGAATATCAAAAACAAAGAGAAAGTCTTAGAAGTTTCCAGAAAATCTAGACTATCTAAAAGACACTCGTATCAGACTGGTAATCAGACTTCTTATCAGAAATGCCGGATGTAGTAAGTTAAGGCAAAGTAAGTCAGACCCCAGAATGCCTTCCAGCCAAGCTTTGAAAAGTGAAGGTAAAAAAAAGAGAATTTTATAGACATTCAAAAAGCCATTTAGGGACTCTCTGAAAGAAATAAAGTAGTACCCAAACTTCATGAAAAAAACTAACATACATGGAAGTTCTGAGGTATAAGAAGCAATAATGAGCAAATGGCTAAAACACATTAATGCTAAAGACAGATTAAAAATGGGTTTTAATACCAAATGAAACAAAATGATAGAATCATGGGAAATTATGTTCTTTTATAGAATGGGGACAGAAGGGGATTACTGCAAGATTAGAGAAAGTAAAGTAGAAGCACTGTCAAGTCCTTCATATGGAGGATATCCATACTAATTAAATTTAGATCTTGTTAGGAAACATAAATTTAAGAACTATGTTGAAAATGCATTGGTAATGTATTTTAAAAAACCATGTAGAACAAAGAAAATTTGGGGCCAACCTCAATTAAAAAAAAGGAATGGAAAAATAGGATATAAAAGATACAAAGAGGGGCACCTGGGTGGCTCAGTGGGTTAAGTCTCTGCTTTCAGCTCAGGTCATGATATCAGGGTCTTGGGATCAAGCCCCAAATCAGGCTCTCTGCTCAGCAGGGAGCTTGCTTCCCTCCCTCTCTCTCTCTGCCTGCCTCTCTGCCTACTTGTGGTCTCTCTCTCTGTCAAATAAATAAATAAAATTTTTCTAAAAATAAATAAATGAATAAAGATACAAAGAAAAGCATGGTAAATAAGATAAGAAAAAGGCCAAACTGTTAATAATCACAAAAAAGGTGAATGTGTTAATCTAACTTATTAAAGGACTCTCAAAATGGATTGCAAGCAAAACCCAGCTATATTTTAAAATAAGAGACCAACTTAAATCACACAAAATGTCAACAAAAGGTTGAAATAACAGTATGTGAAAAAAGACATACCAGCAAATATAAGAAATGTTCATATCAAATAGAATTTAATATGAAAACCAATAAAAGAGACAAAGAGAAATATTTTACAATGATAGAACAATTCACACGAATATCTAAATGAAATTTCTGACTTAATACCAAATAGGCTCAAGAAGCAGAAATCCCAATTAGAGGCAAAAGTATAAAAAAAAAAAGTTTAAACAAGATCTTAGGAAAGCTACATGCCACATATCCCCACCTCACTCCTATTATAACAGTTTTATAGATGAATTCTACAAAACTTTCAAGGAACAGACAAATTCTATCATACATGAACTGTTCCAGGTCAGGAAAAATAATGGGAGCCACTCAACACTTTTTTTTAGATTAGTATAATAATGACATGTAAGAGAAGAAACTCAAGGCCAAAAGCACTTCTGTACAAAAATACTAAGTAAAATATGCTGTAGAGCAAAAGTATATTACTAAAACACAATTTATCCTGGGAATATCCCAAAAATTTAATATTGGAAAGTTTATCAGTGTAAATTCCTACATTAACATATAAATGGAAAACCATAATTTCAGATGCAGTAAATAAAACAATTCAATAAAAGTCAGCAACTATTCTGGAGGCTGGGAGATGAGAGAACCTTAACAAACTAGGAAGAAAAGATCACCTCTTTAACCTGATAAACTCTCTACTAAAACTCATATATAATAACACATCAGAAGCATTTTCATTAAAGTCAGGCACAGAGATGAGGACACTTGCCACCACTGCTCTTATTCAGTATTATACTGGAAGTTTTAAGAGAAATGCAGTAAAATAAAAGAAACATCTAAAGACTTAAAAAAAAAAAAAGCAGTATCTATCTGTAGAATAAACAAACAAAAACATGATAAAGTTAAAAGCCAAGCAAAGAGCTAAGAGAAATAGAGCTTGTGAACTTTGGGTTAGGGGGATGGTGCAGCAGGCTATCACTCGGTGCAGAGTCAGAAGTGGGGCTCGATCTCATGACCCTGAGCTTATGACCTGGGCTGAAATCGAGAGTCATACGCTTAACTGACTGAGCTACCCAGGCACCCTGACACTGAAAAAATTTTTAAAAATTATACAGGATATGCAATATCCAGGGTACATAAAACTTTAAATCATTAAGAAAAAGATGATCCAACAGAAAAATCGGTAATTTTCAAAAGAAATTATAGAAATTTACATAAATTATAAATTAATAAACATATGAATAGATACTGCAAACCTACTAGTAATCAGAGAATGAAAAATTTTTTTAAAATGACAAATGATTTGATCTATCAGATGGACAAAAAGGAACTAATATCTCGTGTTGGTGTACAGTGTAGGAAAACTGAAGTCTCAAAACTATTTTGGGGATGTTTAAATTAGTGTATTTTGGAGGCAAATTCGGCAAGACCAATTAAAATTACAAATGTTCATAACTTTGTGGCACCTGGGTGGCTCAGTCAGTTAAGGAACTGACTCTTGATTTCAGCTCAGGTCATGATCTTAGGGTTATGAGTTCAAGCGCCTTGTCAGTCTCCCTGCTCAACAGGGTGTCCACTTGAGAGTCTCTTTCTCCCTCTCCCTCTCCCACTAGTGCTCTCTCTCTCTCAAGAGAAATGAGTAAATCTTAAAAAAAAAAATAGTGTTCGTAACTTAAAACCAAGCAATCCCACTTTTAGGTATATATATATCCTTGAGAAAAACACGTGCACAAGAAAATACATACCAGGATTTACCTGCAGCATCGTCTATATAAGTTGAAAAACTGGGAACCACCAATGTCCATCAAAAAGAGAATGGCAAATAAAATGTGCTATATAGTACCTATCAAACAAGATAGAATTTAAATATAAAAACCAATGAAAGAGACAAAAATAAATATGTTACATTAACAATTCAGCCATATACTGGAACACTATCCAGCAGGTATAAAAAATGAGCCATAAATACATAATAAGCTATAAAAGGTATACACTTCAAAACACTGTCAAATGAATAAAGTTAGAACATGATATAGTATGATAGTATCAACATTTTTTAAAGTTACAAATGCATATATGAACCCATTGAGAATATAGAAGCATAAAAAAAGACTTAAAGGTTTTGCACCAAACTCTTTAACAGGGGGCTGGGGAAGCAAGGGGTAATTCAGGGGTTGTGGACTGTGCTCCCTGTAAGGATCTAATTTTGTAAAAAGAGAATGTAATAGTGCACTTAATTTAAAATTTAAGTATATAATTTTCAAAAAAGGATAGTCCATTTTAAAGGCTTTTGAAGCAGACTGCCAAACTCCTTTCTAGAATGGTTCTACCAATTTCTATTTCTACCTACAGCACACATGCATACTAATAGTTTTTTTTTTTTTTTAAGATTTTATTTATTTATTTGACAGAGAGATCACAAGTAGGCAGAGAGGCAGGAGGGGCTGTGGGGTGGGGGAAGCAGGCTCTCCACAGAGCAGAGAGCTCGATGCGGGGCTCAATCCCAGGACTCTGGGATTATGACCTGAGCGGAAAGGCAGAGGCTTTAACCCACTGAGCCACACAGGCGCCCCTACTAATAGCTTTTTGAAGAAAAATCTCACCAATGTTGTTCATATCTTCTGAAATTTTAAAAATAACTGAACAGTAAAACATGTGTACTGAAGAAAATTTGCAAAATATAGTAAAGCAAAAAGAAGACAGGCTAAATCACTCATAATCTCATCATCCAGAGACACCTGGTTTAGTATTTCGGAGTGAAACAGGGATTTTTAAATTTGGTCATATTTTCCCCCTTCTCACTTTTTCATTTTGGAGAAAAGTGGAGGGTTTGTTTCACCTCAGTTTCTGGTTGCTTTGTTTTTAAGACCAGGCTTTTTATGAAACTGAACATTTCTTCTCTATTTCTTATGTTCTAACTACGATGAGAGTAATGAACATTTATTGAGTATAAACCATGTGTCAGGCACACTTCTAAGTACTTCACTTACTCTTACTGAACTGCATAACGATCATGAGAAAATTAGCATGTCTATTTTTTCTAAAGAGGAAGCTAAGGCGTGTCACACTGTAATTGGCAGTGACCAAAAATACGGAACCAGGCAGGATGATTTCAGAGTCCTTTTTTGGTTATTCCACTCAACCTTTTCAAAGTTCCCTTTCTAACTCATGCAGAACTCATTGCAGGTTTCCACATGTTGAAGCGCTCAGTTCATTACACACTGTTCCTTATTTTAATTACTTAATGGGGTTGTAGTTAATCAGAGTCAGGTGCCTTTCGGATCTAATCTCAATTCCGTGATCATGGACAAATGATTCTACTTATCTAGGACTCGTGTTAAGTCTTACCTGTGAAATGGGTCAGTGGTTAAACCTTCCAGTTCTGCTTCTGGATTTTACACTGCAGTCCATTTCCTGCAGCCCCTTTTACAGCCTCAGGTTCCCAGCTGCTTAGGAATCACCTCACATTAAGGTATGCACCCGGAGATAGAAAATGAAACGGGGGTGAGAACTCAGAACGCCCACGGTCCCTGCTACAGCCTGGGGCTGCAGGTGGCTAAAAGGAAAAGGGAGGTTGCAAGGGCTGGGGTCCACGCAGCCGAGAGCTCCGCCGCGTTCCCAGGTCCTGGGCCGAAGGAGCTGTCAGGGGGCCACCCAAGGCCGTGCCTCCGCTCCACTAACCACTGCTTTTTCCACGCCGCCCGCCACACCTGAGGGCTGCGCCAGGCCCGTTCCGTTGGTAAGGCTGGGTTTCCCCGCGGGTCGGGCTCCTTTCCGACTCTACGCCACCGAGACCGCAAGGTCCCAGATGCCCCCAGGCCAGGAAGTACTTCACCATTTACCAGACCTCACCTCAGCAACTACTGTCCCGCCTCGCCTCAGGCGGGGAAGGAGGACCGCCCAATCCCCAACGCCCAGGCCTACCTAACGCTAATCCTAAATGGGAGGAGCTGGACACCCAGAGGTCCCTCTACTTGGCTGAGAGCCCATTGGTCGGACACCCGACTGGCTCCACGCCTCAGAGACTCCGCGCGCGTATCCCCGGCAGCGCGGCGGCGCCCAATTGAGCCGCCTTCCGATTGGTTGTCAGAGCTCTCGGCTTGTCTCGCGCTCTCTGGCGGGGCCAATGGGAATACTCGCAGTCGAGAGGCCGGCATTGCAGGAGTGGTGGCGCAGCTGTTTCCTCTGGTAGGTGTTCCGCTGCCATCTTGTGTGTGGCTAGGACTGAGCTTCTCGGCGGTTGAAAGCTTACTTAGTGGCTCCAGGTGTGGAGGGGTCCTGAGAGAGCAGTGGAGGAGAAGGGGGATCTGAGGGCAGACACCTGGTGCCTTTTCACTTACCTGAAAGGGAGAGGTCTTCTTGGTGTGAATCAGCCCTGGCTCGAGAGAGTGATGATGAATGGTGGTGGTGGAGATCCCAGGCTTTGGTTAGTTGGTCATTGTGGAGGGCTTGTTGGGGGCTCTGATGCCTTAACGCTGATTCCTTTGGTTCCAGAGAGTTACTCCCTTAATCTTTGTGTCGGAAGATTGACCATCACCTCTCCTAAAGAGGTTGTCTGATGGACTGCATCATTCAGAAAGGAACAAGGCTGGTCATTAATGGAAGGGGAGAAAGGGAGATGCCTCACCACTATCCTCAGGTTAGAAAGAGACGTCTTCATTTTGTGTCGTTTGCGAGGGAGTGACTGCTAAAGTGTTGGCTCTTCTCGGCAGTTAACCCTCTGATTAAGGTCGTCCTTTGATAATTGTGGGCATCTGGTTCTGCGTTTGGGCAGGTTTATTAATATGCAGCGAGCATTCCTGCAGTTTTGTTTTTTTTTTTTTAAATCTACCAAGTGGTGGTCTTTTTAGAAACTGTAAGTGAAGGAAGACTTTTGGCAAGTCTTTGTTTCCCTGGTTAGGATTTGTTGGAAGATTTAGGAATTTCTAGGTCTGCCTTGACTTGCTTGGTTGCTTCGTCAGGGGCAAGGGGAGGCGTGTGTAAGGGAAGGTATTTTCTGAGCTCTTTTTGAGGTAGGAGAAAGAAAGGAATTACTTCCTTGTCCTCCATTTCGGTTTTTGTTTTGAATCGAAGTAGACTGCACACATTCTTTCATTTGAGAGGGAAAATGATCGGATATGAAAACCTAATTGATAAAAAACTAGTATTTTGTGGTTAGCTGTTTTGACACGCATTAGACGAAAACAAAAACACTTAAGTTTTCAGTTGGTTACCCAGTGGTGGCTCAGCCTAGTCAAGAGTACCATGTGTTTTGTGGCAGGAATATCAAAGAAACAGCAGTAATTGAATGATTAAAATTTAATTTTCTTTTAAAAATTTGCTTCTTAAATCATGAGTTTTATAAGGCCTAAGTTGCAAGAGTTCGTCAGTAATTTAGTTGATGGTAAGCTGCATGTGGCTATCAGAAACAAGTAAGAGATCAGTGGCTAAGAAACAAAGAGCACATAAGAGCAGCTCAGTAAATGTTCGCTGAAACTTTTGCATAGCGTTCTCATGTAATAATGCCTGGCATGTGTTCAGAAGTATAATTGTTGAATGAATAAATAAAACAATATGATAATTGGAAAGTGTGGATATACGTTTCTTTTTTGCCCAACTGAAAAAGAATTTAACCTGCTTTCTAGAAAACTTGACTTTCATTTTCTTGAACTAAATTTATTGCTTCCAATTTATACATACAAATAATATTATGGCTAGGTTCATAATCCTTTTTATGTGAGGTCTTTTTATGAAATCGTAATACAGAGAAATTTAGATAATGAAGGTGAGCCCTAAAGTAATAATGCTTTTTTTTGCCATTTTTTCTTGAAAGTTTCCATAAATGAGTATCAAACTTGTCAGTGCTTTAGCTCTCTTCTGAAGAAGAAGATGTATTGTTTTTCTAGTTTATTTTTAACACTGCTTAAAGTCAAAATACTGCAACTTTAAGTTTACTATATTGCGTAAATATGTTCTGTAATTTTAAGTAAGTAATTTTTAAATAATAAGTTAAGTATGATATTTTTCTTTGAAGAATACAAATCTCTGAATTTAATAATATATAAGTTGAAGATCCTTAGAGATTTTTTTAAAATATTACTTTCGTATGAACAGTGTTAAATGACTTTAAGTAAAAATGATTTAACTTATATTGGTATGTCAAGGATTATTTTTCATTGCAGTCTCATAATGTATACAAGTTTAGATTTTTTCCCCATTATCAATTGATGCATGCTGTTTAATTAGAAAACATTTGATAACACCTTTGAAATGAATGTGGTATTTTGTGGCTGAATATAGGTTAATATCTACTTACCTTCATAAAAAAAAATCAATAAAAAATGCTCTCAACCTGTTTGCAGTTCTTGTATTTGATATTTTAAAGATGTAAATGATTTTATTAGTGAAGATTTTAGGGGATAAATTAAATAATGTGACTAAAAATAAATGATTTAAAACCATGGAGATGAAAATTACCATTGCAGTTTGTGGTGTTTCGTTAATCAATGAACTTGATTGCCTGAGTCATGAGGATGTCTTTTATCTACAGAAAATGCTTGTGAGATAAACACGTGGGACATTCAGATTATTTCCCTTAAAGAGAAAATGTTTGAAGTATTATATATGTAGCTGGTTTTTTTTTTTTTTTAAGCTTTTATTTATTTATTTGACAGAGAGAGATCACAAGTAGACACAGAGGCCGGCAGAGAGAGAGAGAGAGAGAGAGAGAGAGAGAGAGAAGCAGGCTCCCTACTGAGCAGAGAGCCTCATGCGGGACTCGATCCCAGGACCCTGAGATCATGACCTGAGCCGAAGGCAGCGGCTTAACCCACTGAGCCACCCAGGCGCCCCTATGTAGCTGTTTTTAAATGACAGAATTGAAACACTACAATTTCCCCCTTATGATGACTTCTCCCTTTGTAATAATCTCATTTGCTCTTGCCACTTAAACTATAATTTTTGTGCAAATAAGTCCTGATTCTATGTCAAGTTCTGCTCTTTTAAGCACTTAACACTCATTTCTCACAGCCTTTGAGACAATTAGATCTACTCAATTTGTATGCAACTCTATTTAAGTTTCCTATCATGATTGATGGTATAGGTATCTTCTGAATGGCTCTAATTTAAAACTTCAAATTCTTACCTCTCCCTGTGACCTAACTGTATAATCTGTAGCTTCAATGCCTCTCATTTTTCTACAGTCATTGTTGCTGCCTAATTTAGGCCCCGTTTTCTTTTTTTTTTTTTTCTTAAGATTTTATTTATTTATTTGACAGGCAGAGATCACAAGTAGGCAGAGAGGCAGGCAGAGAGAGGAAGGGAAGCAGGCTCCCCGCTGTGCAGAGAGCCCGATGCGGGGCTCGATCCCAGGACCCTGGGATCATGACCTGAGCCGAAGGCAGCGGCTTAACCCACTGAGCCACCCAGGCGCCCCGGCCCCCTTTTCTTAATATTTTATGTATTATTGACAAATCCCCCACTTCTCAACTTGGAATTTGTACTAGTTAAGGTACAGGTTTGGCTACTGTGACAACCTAAAAAATAATTGTGCCCCTCCCCAATCTTTTTTTAGATTTATTTATTTTTAGAGCGAGAGAACACAAGCGGGAGGGTCAGAGGGAGAGTAAGAAAAAATCCCAAGCAGAATCCATGCAGAGCGTGGAGCCAGATGCAGGGCTTGATCTCAAGACCCCAAGATCACGACCCAAGCTGAAACTAAGAGTTGGACTCTTAACTGTGCCAACCAGGTGCTCCATGCCCCACCCCAATTTTTTAATAAAATAAAAAATTTCTAAACTAAGTAAAAATTTGAGCTGATCACGTAGCTTTGCTGCAAAAAGTTGTCAGAGGCCCCGAAGCTGCTCCTAATTTGTTACTCTGCCACCTCATCATGCAGCTTCATGTTGTGGACCAAGATGGCTGCTTCACTTCCTGCCATTTTATGCCTCGTGCTTAAGTTAAAGGCTAAAACGTATCAAGGTAGGAAGCACAGAATCTTGGCAAGGGGTGGTAGGAGTAGGATCTTATTCTCTACCTTAATTTTTTTAAATGATATTATCCCCCAAAATTAAGTAACAATTTCATTTCTGTGAGATTATTGTGAACTTTTGATGATTCTGTTAGGTTCCTACAGTTAGATTTTGGAGGAGTAGGGTGTGTAGCTTGTGACCCTCAAATGCTTCGATTATGGCTTACATCATTTGCAGACCTAGAGACTACTTTGTACTTTCCTTTTCTCTTTCTAATGGTTCTCATGCCCACAGTTACCTTTGAAAGTAATTGATGCCTAGCTTAACTTCTCTTCGGAGTATAGATAGGTTTAATTTAATCACAACCTCTTCTTGCCATATACTCAGATTCTTCATTTAAGCATATCTTATATTACTTTGTTTCTTGCTGGCTGTGGCGACTAAAATAATTCCATGGAAGGCAAGACTCCTTCCTGAGTCATGAACAAGTTTGCATGAATTGGTATTGG